CCATGCCTGGTCCCAGGCTTGCTTTTCACCTGGTTTCTGACGAAACTGCTTCCAGACGCTGAGCCTTGCTGTAACCCCCTGTACTGGCTGCCACAGCATGGCAGAAACGTTGGGTAAAACAGCAGAAATGCGTTTTCTCCTCATTCTGGAGGCCAGAAGGGTGAGGTCAAGGTGCCAGGCTTGGGTTCCTAGAGGCCCTTCATCTTGGCTTGCAGATGGCGTCTGCTCCCTGCGTCTTCCTGTGGCTCGCCTCTGCCCATTGGGTCCTAATCTCCTTGCCTCCTAAGGACACCGGCCACGTGAGATTCGGGCACACCCTAATGACCTCACTGAGCGTAAAACACAGTCGCGTTCTGAGACACTGGGGCTTCGCACTTCAGAAGTGTTTTGGGGACACAGTTCGGCCCTTTTCTTTCGTCCTTAGGGCTCCTGTGTCTCCACCCACACTAAGTGGGTCAGGGTGTCACCCAGCCGGGCAGGCAGGGCCAGCCCTGCAGGGAGCAGTGAGTCCCCCACCTGGTGGCTCTTCTGGAGGCTGTGGGGGTGGGGGCTGTCCTTCAACTGTGAGAAAGAGCCTCTGGCCCTGGCCTTCTCTCTCAATACCAAGAACTGCAGGAGTGCCTGTTTCTCAGGCAGGGCAGGTTTCAGAGCACCCACTCGGGTTACCTGTGAAGTGAGTGCTGGGGGTGCGTGAGGGCCAGGCCCTTGTCTTGCCTGGGAGTTCCTGGTTGCCTCCCTGCTGCTCTGGAGTGTGACAGAAGCGACCTCAGTGGTTCTAAGCTGTGGAGCGCCTGCCAGGAGCTGGATGCTGTGCTCAGGGCTTCTCAGGGCCTAATGGTGACGCCTTTAGTCCCATTTCACACCTGAGAAAACTGAGGCACTGCAAGGTTCAAAGCACAAGCAGCGGTCTCTTCCTCTCAAAATAAGTGCTTCCATACACCCTTTTGTGGACAGTTGGTGCCATTCAAAGGCCTCTTCTTTGCTTTTTTTTCTTTAAAAAAAAGTCTTTTTTAGCTGGGTGCAGTGGCTCACGCCTGTAATCCCAGCACTTTGGGAAGCCAAGGTGAAAGGATTGCCTGAGCTCAGGGGTTCACAACCAGCCTGGGCAACTTGGCGAGACCTCATCTCTACAATAAATCAAAAAATCATCCGGGCGTGGTAGCGCGTGCCTATAGTTCCAGCTACTCGGAAGGCTGAGGCAGAAGGATCGCTGGAGCCCAGCAGTCGAGGCTGCGGTGGCCGGGAGCGGTCACTGCACTCCAGTCTGGGCGACAGAGTGAGACTCCGACTCAAAAAAAAAACACAAAAAACAAAATGAGTTGGGGTGGTGGCACACACCTGGAAGGCCAAGTCGGAAGGATTGCCTGAGCCCAGCAGATTGAGGCTGTGGTAGCCATGAGCTTTCCACTATACTCCAGCCTGGGCAACTGAGTGACACTCTGATTAAAAAAAAAAAAGCCTTGTCTTTTTCCTTCATTTGAACATATTATAGAAATTGCTATATGTTGACAGACATGTCCAAGTCACATTTGTTAAAGAATTATAGCAAATTCTTTAGTTATAGTTTATAAGATGTGCCATGCATATAACATGCATGATGCTACCTGGCAGTAAGAGAGAAGGAGCCACTGATTTGTTCTACAACATGGATGAACCTTGAAAGTATATATATATTTTTTTGAGTTGGAGTCTCACTCTGTCGCGCAGGCTGGAGTGCAGTGGCATGCTCACCGCACGCTGCAGCCTCGACTCCCTGGGCTCAGGTAATCCTTCCACCTCATCCTCTCGAGTAGCTGGGGCCATAGGTGCATGCCACCAAGCCTAGCTTATTTATTTGTTTGTTTGTTTATTTATTATTGTAGAGACGGGGTATCACCATGTTGCTCAGGCTGGTCTCCAACTCCTGGACTTGGGCGGTCCTCTCGTTTCAGCCTCCCAAAGTACTGGATTACAGGTGTGAGCCACTGTGCCTGGCCGAAAATGTGACTTTGATCGAAAGAAAGCCAGACACACAGGGTCATGTGTTATAGGATTCCATTTACATGACATGTCCAGAATAGGCAAGTCCGTGGACACAGAAAGCAGAGTCATGGTGACCTAGGTGGGAGGAGGAGGGAATGGAGTAACTGCTAGGAGGTGCAAAGTTTCTGCTTTTTTTTTTTTTTTTGAGGCAAGGTCTCTCTCTGTCACCCAGGCTAGAGTGCAGTGGTGCAATCATAGATTACTGCAACCTCAAATTCCTGGGCTTTTTTTTTTTTTTTTTTTTGGTT